GCGGATTTCCTATCAGCTTTTTTAAGTTTTCCCAACATTGTGGTCTAACCAAATTGCTCGACAGTGGGTTCTCACCCCTAATACATTTCTCCTTTCGCTTATCTCTCAGTTGTTGTATATTGTTCATTTGAGTTATTGGTTTAATCGTATTAGGTTAGTCAGCTATCTCTTTTTGTGTCTAAGTCTTCACTGACTCATCAAGCCATTTGTACAGCTTCTCCCAGACTGTATAAAAGTCTGTATCTTCTTTGTCGTTAATTCGCATCGTCAATCTGTTCATTTCTGCTAGTTCTAAAATTTTATTCATCACCATAGTGTTGGTGGGGGCATTTTCACTCTTCCAGCACTGTGCGTAAACAATCCTTGACGCTGTCAGAATATGGACTAGGAGGTATTGGTTAGATTTGCAAATTTTTTGATCTATTATCCCTAATAAGAAAGTTTCCGGCTTAAGACATAGTTTAATTGACAAGATTCCATTCAATTTAATAATTAATAATATTTAATAATCCTTTGTATTTCCCCACAACAACTTTGTAAGATAGGTTGGATTGAGAGATAATTCTCAACTGGTTTTCATGGGGGCCCCTAAAATTCAGTCTCCTGGCTTCTTGGTCAGCACCTCCATCAATACCTGTAAATGACTTCTTCAGCTTGAATCTCAATAATATACGGGGAAAATAATAGTTATAAACTTACGGTTAACCGCTCCAAACTCGATTGCAGAAAATATGACTTCAGCAATAGAGTGGTCAACGCCTGGAATGCTCTACCTGACTCCTTTGTTACAGCCTCAAACACCCATAACTTTAACCTTAAACTGTCTAGTGTGGATCTTACCCCATTCCTAAGAGATCCGTAAAGGGGGGCGTGGATAAGCGCACCAGCGTGCCTACCGTCCCTGTCCTACTGTCCCCATTTATTTATACTCATTTCCTGTGTTCATGTCCATGTTTATACTTATACCTGTTATCTCGTACATGTTTGACAAAATAAATAAGTAAATAAAATCAATACATCCGACTCTCCAGTGGAGTTTACTTCCTAATAAATGTATTTAGGACTGCAGTTTCCCTTTGTTTTCTCTAGGATAACAACGCAGGATTCCCTTGCCGAATGAGAAACTATTAGTTCAACTGCACAGAACAATCTTAAGTCTTTTCTTAATACTGAGGACTAGAAACATAGGAGAGTACTCATTCCCATGCCTGCTTTGCTATCACAATAGCAGAAGGCTGTATTTCCAAGAAAACAGGAAATTTAAATAAGAAAAAACTCAAGAGGTAGCAATTACAAACAAGGTGTTTTGGGCATAAATAATCCTGTGTTCTTTTCTTGACAGCCTGGTTGAGAAGGAGCCAAAACCTGAGATGTTGCTTCATTCACAACCCATTTTATTTTTATGGTATTATGTCTTCTCTCTACAAATAGACTACTAGCTTGTCAAGAACTCTCGGTCTAGTTTTGGCCATGAAAAGCTAGCTTTCTCTCCCTTGAAGGACAAATTTGGGTAGCCAATTAAAGCTGAAGTGGTTAAACCCGGGTACTCTCAGGTATGAATTCAGCTTTATTCAGTGCGGGACAATGAAAGGGGGTTGGGTGGGAATTGAATCCCGGCTTTTTCTCTCCATTTCGACCTTACCGGCGCGCCATAGTTTTATCGCTTGAGCGGATTGGCCAGACGGGCGCCCTCGGCCCGATTGGCTAGAAAAATCACTGTGGGGTCCAGCCTCCCGGGCGTCGACAGGAAAGCAGGCCTGTCCTTCCGAAACCCCGCGTTCCGATTGGTTCGCCGAACTCAGTCCCTGGAAACAGTTCCGGGAAACCCCTCGCGTTGCCGGGATCGCTCTGGCGGTCCATGAGGGGAGGGAAGAGGAGGAGCGCGCGCCATTTGCAGCCGCTGCTCCAGCCGCGCCGCGCAGGTCCCGCTCCGGTGAGTCTTGCCAAGGACGCGCCCGGCCGAGCGAACCCGGTGGCGGCGGCGGAGAGGAGGCGGTGGCAGCAGCGACGGCGGCCGCGCGCGTGCCTTGCGTCGGNGGGGAAGCGGCCGGCAGGGCGAGGCCCAGGCGGCGCTGCGACGGCGCTCCAGGAGCCTTTTGTGGCCGCATCGCGCCTCCGGGCGAGGAAAGGTCCCGCTTTCGCCGGAGGGGGCCCCCGCTGAGGGTCGCCTGATCAGCGCGCGCTGGGCCTTCGGCTGCGACCCTGAAGCGAAGGAGAATGAGCGGCGCCCGGCCTCCTTCCCGCCTGGGCCTCGCCCGGCTTGCGCGCTTCACCTCGATCGGAGGAAGGGGGGCGACTCCGCACATTTGGGGCACAGGCGGGGCCGTCCCGTTAACCGCCGGGAAACAACCCTCGGCTTTTTGCTCCTCGTCCTCCTCTCGCGGGTGAAAGGCCAGGTTTGAAGCGTTTGCTGCCCCTCGGGTGGCTTTCCTTTAGGAGGAAGCCCGGTGGAAATCAGAATCGTCAATAATAAAACACGCGAGGGATGGACGGGTAGGATGGCAAGTCTTAGGCGCTGGCTTGAGATCGGTGGGCTCGCTGGCCGGTAAAATCTGCGGTGTGGATCGAGCCTCCTCTGCGCTCTGTAGGACGACGGCGTTGAAGCACCGATTTCCGAAAAAAAACAAAAACCCACCCATAAAAAAGCGAACAGTTGCTGCTGCAACTTGCTATTTTTTTCTCTCTCCCCCCTGTTGGAATCACTGATGCGGCTTTCAGGTTTGTTTTTTTAAAAAGACTGCGGGATATAGTTTTCCAGTTACTTTTCTACACGCCCATCTCTAGTAATGAATAATCTGAAGTTATTTCACTGGGTGGCTTTTGTTTATTTATTTATTTATTTTGTCAAGCATGTACATAAGATAACAGATAAAAGTATAAACATGATTTTGAATACATGAAAGGATATTAGGACAGGGATGGTAGTCACGATGGTGTGCTCATGCATGCCCCTTACAGACCTCTTAGGAAAGGGGTGAGGTCAACAGTACACAGTCTCAAGTTAAAGTTTTGGGGGTTTGGGGAAGAAACCACAGAGTCAGGTAAGGCATTCCAGACATTGACCACTCTTGCTGAAGTCATATTTTCTGAAATTGAGTTTGGAGTGGTTTACCTTAAGTTTGTATCTGTTGTTTCATCTTGCATTGATGTGGTTGAAGCTGAAGTAGTCATTGACAGGTAGGACATTGTAGTAGATAATTTTACGTACTACGCTTAGGTCAGACCGAAGGCGGTGTAGTTCTAAGTTGCCTAAGCCCAAAATTTCAAGTCTGGTGGCATACTTGCGGGTAGAGGAATGGAGAACTCTTCTCGTGAAATATCTTTGGACTCTCAATTGTATTAATGTCTGATAAGCAGTTTGTTTTTTGTTTTCCCCATGTTGTCAAATTGGGAATGGACAGAAGGTGACTGGATGATAATTCTGGTTCTTGAGGAAAGGGTGAGGCTGTTTGAAAGTGCTCCCCCCCCCCCCAAATGGGAAAATTAGTGCTTCTCATTGGGACAGTATTGCTCGCTATTTGGCATAGGAATTCTGAGTGAGTTAAGTTTCTTCTGTGTGTAATATTACAGTACTGTGGTACATTAAGACCACATGGATGTTCTAAGTTTATATTCCTATTTCACTCAGTGGACGTTAAAGATGATACCATAGAATGCTTTGAAGGCTGTATATTTGTAAGAGAAGGAAGGACTCCCTGGAGAAGAGCCTAATACTGGAAACGATTGAGGGCAAAAGAAGAAGGGGACTGGATGGAGTCATTGAAGCAGTTGGCGTGACTTCAATGGACTCTAGAGGATGGTAGAGGACAGGAAAGCCTGGAGGAATGTTGGCCATGGGATTGTGATGGATCACACACGACTTCGCAACTAACGACACAACAATATTTGTAGAAAATAAGGTTAAACCTCAGAAAATGGTTTGATAAGAGTTTCCATACTTTTACTGTCTAACCCTGCCATTTTAAAGCAGAGAATAATGACGTAGTTTTTGAAATTCTTGTCAACTTGAAAATTTAAGACCCTCTGTAAATCTTGAATTATGCAGTATTCTTTGGGGTTCCCAACTTTCCATTTAGGAAATTTGAATAGCTGAATAACTTTCTGCTGCCAAAATATTCCATATGTATTTTTTGGCAATATAGCTTATGCTTCTGCAGTTAATTGCATATACAATGCATCTTATTTGGAAATTTTATGTGTATTGGCAAAGCTGCAGCAGTACCACTTTTAATTAAATTTCCTTTGTCATTTCTTCAAGCTTTGTTGTCTTATGAAGATAGGTTAAATCAGGATTTTTAAAATTAGTATTGATTGATAGCTGTTTGGCATTCTGTGGACAAAATAAGGACTTGTAGTATGCTTGCAACTTTATTGACTTTAATGCTGTTGATTAATTTTGAGGTAATTTAATGTAGTAGGATTTTTGCTAGCTTTTTAAAGTCAAAGTTAAAATAAACTTTGTGTTACTTTGGTTGTCTTAGGACATGCATTCATTTAAAACCAAAGTCGAGCCATGCCAAGAAGTCGTTGAGCTGGATAGGGTAGTAATTATGGCTGTAGTTTGGATAATTGAGAATAAGCCCCCTTTAATGTATTTTGAATAGATATGGTTATAGTTATACAGTCTTGCATTGATGCAGTCACAATCCCTGTTCTTAAATCAGAAGAAGCAACCTAGCAATCAGTTGCCATTCTCTATGTAACAATTGATAGGAATGTATAAAATACAGAAGACATTCTTTAATAATAGATCTTTCAGGTGGCCTCGCAAAACAGAATTCATCTTGCAAATATCTCTTCACTTTGCCACCAATTTTTATAGTAGCACATAGATTTTGCTGAAGGATGTAATCAGTGCAAATGCAGAAACAGAAGTGGAAAACAGAATGACAACTAGTCTGGAGGATAGGATTAGTTTGAAAGAAGACAGGTAAAAGAAATGTAGAGTTATTATAAATGGAGCATTCTCAGATTTCTTCAGTGTCCTGCTTATGTATGTCATTTCTGACATTGCGCTGTATTCTTTTAAGTACTCTCTGTTAACAGTGGTACAAAGTGCAACAATTAAGTTTAGAACTTTAGTAAGAGGCAAAACAGTGCCTGTCAAATGCAGTGAAAGAAAAGTCAGGGGTCTTGTCTGCATCTTGCCTAGTTTCCAGACTTGGGGGGAGGGGGGAGAACCCAGATCACCCTCTAGCTACTTGTTTTGGGTGTTGCCATCAGTATTATGTGAAGTCAAAAGTTTATGGATAAAGGACAAGTATGATAACAGAAAGTCATATGAGGTCTGATAGCAACTTCTCTAGTTGGTGCAAGTCCTGTTCTTCCGTAGCAGAAGGCTGAAAAACTTGTATCTATATCTGCAGCTTATCTCTTTTTTTTTTCTTCCGTTCAATTGTGTCCTATTCTCAGAGACTGCTGGACAAATCCCTGCAGTTTTCTTGGCAAAGTTTTCAGAAGTAGCTTGCCATTGTCTCCTTCCTAGAACTGAGAGAGAGGGACTGGCCCAAGGTCACCCAACTGGCTTTGTGCCTAAGGCTGGATTAGAACAGGCAGTCTCCCAGTTTCTATCCTAATGCCTTAACCATCACATCAAACTGGCATTCTCATTCTACTTGAAGACAAATTGTATTTTCTAATATAATGTGGCATCTGTAAGCCAAAGCGATAGTGAATTCCTACATATGGAAAACACTAAAGTTCTGTGTGAAACTGATAATTCAGTGAGCCTTAGATCTCTGGCGCCTTCTGGCACCATGAGAACTAGTGTATTATGTGGTTAAGATAGCATTTTTCAACTTTGACAACTTTAACATGTGTGGGCAATTCTGGGAGTTGAAGTTGTTAGAGTTGCCAGTGTTGAAAACTACTGGATTAAGATGTTGGACTAAGGGTGGGAGACTTCTAGTCCACCCTCAGTCAAAGAAACTGAGTGATTTGGGCCAGTCATTCTCATTCAGCCTCACTTACTTCACAGACTTGTTGGGAAAAATAGCAGAAGGGACTGTTTTCATTTCTTGGAGCTTCTGTGACAAAAAGTGAGATATCAATTAAATACATAAAGTTTTGCTAATACAGTATAACGATGAAGATAGTGAATATTTGTTAGAGACCATTCTTGAGTTGCTTATTGCTGATATTCTATGTGAATTTGTTTTGATTATTTAGATATTTGTTTTTTCCATTTAAAAGAATGTTTTTAAAGCGAGAGTAGTGGGATCTTAAATTATTTCCTGGTAAACCTGCATTCATATTATAACCCTTAATACCAATCAAAACTTTGTAGACTTATTTGAATAAAGAATCTTCTAAATCTGTTTTTACGTTGAGGAAGTGTAATATGAATTAAGTGTACCGATAATCTTTTGGTACTTATTAGTTGGGAAAAACTATCACTTCTGTCATAATGGGAGTTGTACTTCGCATCTAGACAATACCAGTTTGATGAACGTTGTTTTAGAATAAGTACTTTCTCTTGTTCTTTTTTGTGCTCCAAATATTTTTTTTAGAGATTACCTTTACTTTAGTAGCATTGCCGTTTTGTTGCGGAAGAGACTTTAAAGAGCATTTCTGTCATTAGGACAACAAAATTATCTAGAAGAAATGTGTATTGTTTAAGTTGATCAAATTCACACCAGTCTTTGTTGGATAATAGTCTTGCTGTTATTGCCATAAAACTATTTAATTTTTGTTCATCTTGAATTATGTTCCTCATTTAAAGAACATATGTGAAGTTATAATTCAAAATAATTCTGTCAGAAGGTTCGGAAAAGCTTCTATTGAAACAATGCTACCATAAGAGGGTATAGTGCTACTGAGTAGAAGTGGGCACAAAACAGAAAATATGTTCCATTTATGAGACAAACAATTTGTAATGTGGGAGTTAAGGGACATTCTCAGATAGCATGTGGTCCAGCAAAGCTCAAAATTAGATCATTTTGATTGTTCTGTGTTTTAACTTAGAAAAAAAAATGCAGAGATGTCTTATGAGGTGAATAAGGCAAAGCCTCTCTTCCCTTCTTCTCCTTCCCTTTGAGTAGTTGCCACTGGGCTTGAATTTAAACAGAGCCAGTATATCTTGCTTTCTCCCCATATTTCTTTCCCCATAGCTGCTGTTGATGGCCTTGCTTTTCCCCCCACTATGGAAGACTTAATGCCTCTGTTATCTCTGGGTACCCAAGAGGGTATCCATCCTTTGCATATGCCTATTACTGTGCTGTTGCAAGAAATAACCTTAATTATTTGTGAGAAATTGTTTTTCACTGTTAGATACCCTCAAACTAATGGAATACAGATGTTATCTTAGGAGGTGATGGGAATTATACTCCAACACATCTGGAAGCATCAAGTTGGAGGTGCTTGGTATAAGACTCAGTACAGCTTTTGTTGTCTAAATACACTGAATTTGGGTGACATGAAGTACATAAATTAGGGCTGTGATTTAAAAACGCTGCAGCTTGAAAGAAATGTAAGATTTATTGGACATTTTGCAAAAATAGAAATTAATTATATTTAATATGCTCATAGTAGTATAGTATATTGATATCTGCAACCAAAATTCATATTGTAATGCAAGTTCTGCAGTTTTATGATTATGGCTTACTAAATGGTTTCTTGACATTGACATAGTGGTGGTTTTAAAAGCAAGCTGGAGTATGAGTTAAGTTTTTTATTTTGACTTGCTTCTAATTATAATGAATGCTTCTGCTTGGAGGGATGCCTTTAAGTTGCATGAAGTATATGAAGATCTAGTTATAGCATTCATAATTTAAAAGCCATAACCTTCGTTCTGTATCTCTTAAATTGAATTGAATGTTTTAGTAAATTCAAGGTTGTTTATCTTTCTGCTAATATGACACAGTTAATCTTTATCTTTAGCAGGGTTTATATTGCCTGTCTGTTGTGGCTGAATAACAAACTCCAGTTCAATACCATCAAATAGGAATTAGAAAAATCCACAAAACTCATTTGAAAAGATAGTGGTTTTTTTAAATTGATATTTGCCATCTTACTGACTTTTGCATCAAATCTTTCCTGTTGATACTAAAAATTGAAAGTGCAGTCTTTTCTTTAATCTCTAATATGTGACATGCAGAGTTTAATACAAGTTCATCTTGTTTGTATGTGATGTGCAATTTGTTTATTGACTGTTCTACTTTTGCAAACTTAATGTGGCATATTCTTTTTTTCAAAAAAAAATTCCGGAAATCAGCGTATGTTGAAGCTGTATGGTGTCTCTTATGTAACAAAATATTGATTTTGAGCATGGAAGGAAGCCAGAAAAATATGGGAAAGATGGAAAGCAAGTATTGATTGACATTTGTATATTTAGCTGGCCTTGTAGAACTTTGTACTGAATACACTGATCAAAAATTTCTGTGAGGCCAAAGGAATAATGGCAGATATTTGTGCAGCCCAGTATCCTTCCCCCCTTTCCTTAACATAAATTAATCACACAAAAATAAAAAGTAGATTCTTTGTACATGAAGTACTTAAAATTGTTCATTTTTCCATGTACATCTTCTGCAGTATTTCAGGACTGTATTTTCTGTTGAAATTAGGCGAGCTGTATTATAAAGGCTTTAAACAAAGAGTTAATGTAAGTCACTGGCAGTATGTTTACAGTTAGTTTAGATAAATGCATTGTCCTTCAAATTAGTTATTTCTGGCTTTATGTAATATAGCTCCTGAATTTTTTCCAGCAGCATAATAAAATGGCTAATCAGGTGAATGGTAATGCGGTACAATTAAAAGAAGAGGAAGAACCAATGGATACTTCCAGTGTTACTCACACAGAACACTACAAGACACTGATAGAGGCAGGCCTCCCACAGAAGGTGGCAGAAAGACTTGATGAAATATTTCAGACAGGTATAATATGCATTTCTTGTTTCTGATTGGTTATAAAAGTGAAGGCCAAAAAAAAAATCAAAATTTTTAGGCTTTAAAGATGAAAACTGCTGTATTTTGCACTGTGTAGCTATGAATGTACTGCTGCTTTCACTTTGAGGTTGACTATATCAACAGTACCTTAGGTCTTTAGGACACTGTAACTGTTTCACAGACTCTCCCAAATAAAAGAGGACATTGCTGCCTACTGAATTGTAATTTTTTTCAACATTATAATAATTTGCTTCTACTTTGCTACCATCACTAATTTATGGTGCTTAGGCTAAACATAGTATTTCAGTAGGTGGTTTAAGGAGGGGAAGTAGCTTGCTTGGCTTGCTTTGGGTCTATATATTTGTCTATGTTCTAGTGAATAGTTTTAATATATTTAAGTCATCATACTGAAGTATTTAGTTTTATGATAATTGCTTGAATCATATTTATCTTACTTTGGAGCAAGTGGCTTGTGTATTTTAAAAAGAGATGACACAAAAGAATTTTAGGATGCACCTACCTTTTTGCCGTGAAAAGAGACAATTTCTCTTCTTTAGTTTGTGTGTGGTGAATATAGTTAGATAAGTAAATAGAATTCCTTCATTCCCTTGCCTCAAATATTTCAGAGAGAAGATTTAACCTGTCTTCTTTTTCTAAAGTCCTAGAATGTTTTTTGCAAGTTTAAGATAATTAAAAAAGAATACCATGTCTGTCTTTATTATGATGGTATTTTGACTCAGGTGGTAACAAAGACGGTGCCAATGAATGTCTGATATGGTAGTGCTGTCTCCTTAGAGAGATACTTCTCTAGGGTTGAACTAAGCTGATATTCACATAGTGGCTTGAGTATAGTTGTTCGAAAAGGGAATGTATAGAAGATACAAGTTCATACTAAAACGTTACTGCCTGGCTTCAATGTATTCGTAGAGATGTATCTTCATGTGTAAAATTTAACATTTTAGCCCCCCTGGGTCTGTTAATGCAGTTGGATACTTCTCATTTTCATGCCTAGATAATTAAAAATATTTTCATGAGTTTTGTCCATGTACAAGTGATGCAGGGGCTTTCCACCATGCAGGATCAACTCTGAAATTGCAATCTAATGGCTCTGCTGCTATATTTTGTGCTTTAGTGTAGGGTGTTTGAGTATTAAAAACTTTAAATATTAAAAATGCATACATTATATTTCTTGAAAGATTGTTCCAATATCTGATATTTCATCATTTAAATGCAAGTTTAATGGAATTTGCAATGCTCTACATTTTTATAATATGTACTTCTAAGCGTTTCATTATAGAGAAGAAACTGTATCCAAAGCTTTCAGTGTATTTGTATCAGGGCTGGCCCTACTATATGTAGGTCTGTACCTGTGTGCTTAAAATTAAGATATTGAACATGCATAACAGGGCTCGAAATAATGTAGAGGAAAAGGATGGCAAAAACAAAAAATAGTAATTGTAATACCTACTTTTTGAAAACATGGGGGGAGGGAAATAACATTTTCTGATGAATAGTGGGGAGTGGGCTTTATAAATATTCCAGTAATTGGTGCAGCACATTTTAGTGAAATGATAGAACTGTTTTCTTATCTATGACTTGTAATGGCTCCATTCAACAGAAAAAAAAAACCTTAAAAGCTCTAAAAACTGATTTTGTATTTAGAAATCTGAGCCAGAGCCTGTTATTTCAAACCCTGATATGTAAGATTATTTTGCTTACAAAAGTATTCCAAAACTTGTGGGAAAATAACTTTTAATCTGTAGTATGACATTATTAGTTAGTTAATATTATTTTGATTTTAGCAAAGCACAGTAGGCTTGTGAAACTAACTTGTCTTTATATAGTTAAATAGGAATCTGTAATGTTTTTCTATTTTTAATTTTTTTAGGATTGGTATCTTATATTGATCTTGATGAGAGAGCAATAGATGCTCTCAGGGAATTTAACGAAGAAGGCGCCCTCTCTGTATTACAGCAGTTTAAGGAAAGTGACCTGTCGCATGTACAGGTAAGGTAAGAGCTTCTGTGGTATGAACAAATAGGCCCACAGTGTGGTGTGGTGCAACAAATATGAACAAAAGTGGCTGAATTCAGATTTTTTTTTTCTCACAGCAAGACTGTGTTTCCATTCAAATATTAAAAATAAAATAATAGCATTGCATGTGAGTATTAGTGCCTCATATTAGCCTGATAATTGAACTGCTGGTTTGTTTTAATGTTAAAATATCAACTGACGTTATATTCAAAATACTGGTTGATTCTCAGGGTGTAACAACATTATTCAAGCTTCATTGACTTCAGATTATTTTTAATTCCTTCTGCTTCACTTCTTTTATTAATTATATCCACAGAATAAAAGTGCATTTTTATGTGGAGTTATGAAGACTTATAGACAGAGAGAGAAACAAGGAAGCAAAGTACAGGAATCAACAAAAGGGCCAGACGAAGCAAAAATTAAGGTAACATATATACAGGAAAGCAAATAAAAGTGGAACTTATTCTCAGGAGTAAAGAACTGTATCTCAAAAATTCCTCCAGTAGTCCCTTTTATAATAAACTGTTACTATTGCAAATGTAGATTGGCAGAAATATTGAAAATATAAAACAATGTTGCCTTCTAAGGTAAATTTTGTAAATTGTAGGATTTTGTAGGGAAAAAATGATTGTCGTGTTAGAAACTCTTCAGTGGCATGTTAAGAAGAAATCTTACCAGACAGATATAATTCCGTCAGTAGCAAAAGTTATGGGTTTTACCATCCTTAGTTGATATTCTGCATTTCTCTTGCAAGCAGTTAAATTTTGCAAATGTGTTCTAGAATATGAAGTAGTGGGGAAAGTGTCCTATTGAAAGAGTTCCTTGAGGTGAAATGTTGTTTTTACCCTATTGACATTAAAAGCTACCTGCTCTCTCTTTTTTCCTTTTAAAAATTCAGGCTTTGTTAGAACGAACTAGTTATACTTTGGATGTGACCACAGGACAACGGAAATATGGTGGTCCTCCCCCAGATACTGTCTTCTCAGGATCTCAGCCTGGCATTGGAACAGAGGTTAGCATATGCAGTTTATATGTCTAAATAAGACCATTTTGACCTTAATAAACAAATTTGAATGCTTACAGGTAGTCCACAATTTACAACTACAATGGAGCCCCAAATTTCTGTTGCTAAGCAAGACAGTTGTTAAGCGAGTTGTGTCCCATTTTACGGCCTCTAAATCACTGCGGTTGTTAAATGAATAGTGTGAATCTGGTTTTCCCCATTGACTTTGCTTATGAGAAGCCAGCTGGGAAGGTCACAAATGGCAATCACATGATCCTGGGATACTGCAACTGAAATAAATACATGCCAGTTGCCAAGTGCCCAAATTTTGATCATGTGATCACAGGTGCTGCAACAGTTTTAGGCGTGAAAACTGGTCATAAATGCTTTTTTCAGTGGTGTTGTACATTGCACAATCACTAAACAAATGGCTATAAGTTGAAAACTACCTGCATTTTATAAATTAAGAGACAAATAAATCATTAAGTTAAATTTACTAATTTTAAAGTTACTAAGACTGATGGAAATTGCAAAATAGTTTGCTCCAGGAGGTGGAGGTGAATAGTAATAACCCCCTTTGAACAGTAGTAATTATCAGAGTTAAAGTATTGTGATGTAGTGATAGAAATTGTTTTTGAAAACACTTTTCTCTTGTAAGACAGATGACTATGGTTTATGATAATGGAAGCAGTTCATATTTATGACTATTTTCAGTTACCTTTCTGCAAAGGTGCAGGATTCATAATGAAGACTGTACTGTGATACTGGACATACTGCATATGGCCTATGAAAGCCCTGAGTACAGCTCCCTTGGCACCCCCAAATTAGGTTTAATTTGATAGGAGGAATAAATTAGCAATTGGAGACTCTGAAATTCATATTAACTACCTTTAATTAACTCATTAAAATGTTTCCAAGAAGACTGCATATTCATGACCAGATTAAAAGCTCTAAAGTACCTTTTAGTTCTTGTTAATAAATATTAATTCTCCTTCAGGTTTTTGTTGGAAAAATTCCTAGAGACTTATACGAAGATGAATTGGTGCCACTCTTTGAAAAGGCAGGACCCATTTGGGACTTGCGACTCATGATGGATCCACTTTCTGGACAAAACCGAGGCTATGCTTTTATCACATTTTGTACCAAAGATGCAGCGCAGGAAGCTGTTAAGTTGGTGAGTGTTCTGTCGTAAGACCAAGTACGGTGCAAATTAGAAAGTAAGTGTTCACCTTACAATTTAGAAATTGATAGAGCAAGATACACTGCATAATCTCACTTTTCTCCCTATTTTTTCTCAGTTAAACTGATCCTACTTGGGTGTTTTTGTATTTATAAATAATGTTGGCTGCAATATATAAGTTGCTTGATGATGAGATGGGAGGCATACAAATTTTAAATAAATAAATAGCAAAATATATTTTATTGGAAACTCTAAATCTTGGGAGTTTTTAAAACTCTAAATTTTGGGCATGCAAAGATGCAAATACTACTAAATAATGTAAACATCTAGTCATTCAATCAATATAGGCCAGTAGAGTTTGCTGGTATCGGTATTTTAATAAGCGTTCATGAGAAATGTTTGATTGTTTTTCTTTCAGTGTGATAACTATGAAATCCGACCTGGAAAACACCTTGGTGTATGCATCTCAGTGGCAAATAATAGGCTATTTGTTGGATCAATTCCAAAAAATAAAACAAAGGAGAATATACTAGAAGAATTCAGCAAAGTCACAGGTAAGGAGATGCAGGCATTGGCTTCTGTAAAAAAAGGCTTCACTTTAATGTAGCTTAATATCTAAATTTAGAGGGCACCAGATTCCTGGGTGACTGTGTGAGGCTTACAGATTTTTTAAAATGCCAATAAAAATATGTATATAAAAAAGAAACCTGGCTGACAGGAAAATAATACACTAGACTACAACAAATTAAATCATGTCTAAAAATAATGAAATGCTAAATAAGCTTTCGTAAAGCAAAAGGTTTAGGGCAATAATTATGATTCTGAACTTAATTTTAGGTTATATGTAGGTTTTCATATGAAAGTCTCACTAATTTGGCAGAAGATGAGCTGCTTTCATTTGTGAATTTTCAATCCATCGCCAATCACAATACATTATTCTGTCTATTTTCATTTTTGCTATTATTGTTTTTTAATGTTTTTATTTGGTGGTCTGTGACTGCAATAAAAATTGATTGATTTTCATTTTGGCATAATGGCAATAGAATAAATTGCCCTTGCATTGTTCATACCAAAAACAATAATAGTTAAAATAGAGGTGTACACAAAACAGGAAACAAAGCAGGCCGTATTTGAATCATTCTGCTGAACAATCTTGATTGTTTTATGTAGTTTGGGGATGGACAGACGTTGAAACATTTTGAGTATTTTGTTTTTGCTTTCAAACAAAACCCATGCAACATACACATTTTCTCTAGCTTTGAATGCCCAAACAGTTTGCTTCGAGGTTCTTTTCTGCAACTGGAAATTTTTAAACTATCAAGTTTTACTCTGAAAAACATGGCACATTTTTGAACTAGAGACACTTTTCACACTTTTAGTTTAAGACACTTTAGTTGTTTAGGATGGATTGAAAGAGCAAGGACAGCAACTCCATTTTCCAAAGAATTGATACATTGCACCAGGGCTGCAAGCAGTTGCATCTTTCATGAGGTAGTCTACAAATAGTGATGAGATCAGTAACATTTTCATATTTCCTGTAGCAGAAAAGCTTGGAAAATGGTTCAAAATAATATATCAAAATCTAGCCAGGCCACTTGAAGTAGAATTCCTACCAGTGATTCAGAAGACTATTTCCTTATTCTGAATACCTGATGTTGGCTAGGTAGTAGTTAAGGGAATGAGTCTGTTTTTGCCACTTTATAAAAACGACAGTCATGAGCTGTGATTGTTCCATTTCTGTGCTGGGTCAGGGAGCATCACCTTTTTATCTCTCTGCCAGAAGCAAATGTAGTATTGCAACAGTAAATAGAGTAAAAAGAACAACTTTGTAGAATCCTAAGAATTTCCTTTATGCTCCCCAAAAGGTGTATTTTCACAGTGCATTAGTTAAGAAAATCAAGTCTCCAGCATACTTAGTAGTCTATCCCGAAAGCTCTTTTTTTTTAAAATTAGCTTTTCAAATGAGAAAAGTTTTACTCTTCCGTAATTTATCAGGTGTTTTCTTAACAGAGGGTTTAGTTGATGTAATCCTATATCATCAACCTGATGATAAAAAGAAGAATCGGGGGTTCTGCTTCCTTGAATATGAGGATCACAAATCAGCAGCTCAAGCTCGACGCCGATTGATGAGCGGGAAAGTGAAAGTCTGGGGAAATGTTGTGACAGTGGAATGGGCTGACCCAGTAGAGGAGCCAGATCCAGAAGTCATGGCAAAGGTAGTAAAGTAGTAGCTAAATCGGCATGATGTGAATTAAAATTCACCAACAGATTTATTTTTTCCCTTTCTGATTATCTCTAGAATACCTGTTTACCTTGTTGGGGGAGAGGGGAGGCTAGGCCATTTTGCACTCAGAAGGGATAAACTGACAAGAGTGTCATTATGTATGTGTATATTTTTATACATATAAACAATATAGGATTTGTATCTGGTAAAAAGTAATTTCTAGGTGTTTTCAAAGATGGTTATTCTAAGCATCATGGATCCTTTTTTTCTGGATTACATGCTGAACCACACCGTTGCAGCACACTCTGTTTTTCATTAGTTTGATAGCTGAGTTAGAAAGTAGAGTATTTGCTAATCAATACCTATTGTTTAGAAATAGGCATTGTTAAAATTGAGAAAAAGGGAAATATTATCATCTTCCAAATGGAATCTGAAGAGGGAGGGGTGAATAGTTTTACTGAACAATTTCTATAGAATAAACATTGTTAAATATTCTTTTAGTTGCCACTGTTCATAGTGAAGGTAAAGATAAGAGTTGAAAAAACTTTTATAATCGAGATAGCTAGAAATCTTTGTTTAGGATGTACTGTTCTTTGGGCAGTTTTGTACGACTGAATAGGTCCTGAATGAATGTGAGGGTTGTTTTCCAGAGCAGCATGACTGGAAACCATCATCCAAGGTTTTTTTTTTTAAGGCTGCTGTGACGTCTTCCCACCTGAACAAGGTAGAAAGGGAGCAAATTAGGCACTTACCCTAACTCTGGTATCTCATAGCTTAGAAAAAACTGTCAATCCTCACTAATGACACAGTAATCTCAAAACAGTTTACTGCACTGCAAAAGTTGCTGTGGTTTCTGTAGTTTAATAATTCTGTCTTGACTGTTTTGTCTAAGGATAATCTCAAGCACAAGGGGGATTTGGCCTTACAGATAGCTTAAAAATATTTTAAATAAATGCCAGTTTTCTTGACAGGTGAAAGTTCTATTTGTGAGGAATTTGGCCACTACAGTGACAGAGGAAATATTGGAGAAATCATTTTCAGAGTTTGGAAAGCTGGAAAGAGTGAAGAAATTAAAAGATTATGCTTTTGTTCATTTTGAAGATAGGGGAGCAGCAGTTAAGGTAGGTAACATTGTTATTAAGCAAAATTAGGTCGCCCAGAACTTACAGAAAATCTTTTCAAAAGCAGCCTTTTTTTTCATATGGGTTAATATGAGAATGGGTTATAATAAGATGTCCTCTTGTAGATAGTTGTGCTACCATTTCCTGTCTGTTCCTATCATTTATTCCTTGGTTTTCTAAACAAGAAACATGCTTCTTCTACTGTTTTGTCTTTATTGCAAAAATAGTTACGGTGCATAGATCTTCCTATGGAGCAACCTGAGACTTCCTTTACTTGCTAAGTAAGAAAAGTTAATGCTAATACAACTTTTATCTTTTACACAGTTTCTCCAAGGGTAACTTCTATCCACTTCCCGCATTGAACTCAGATTTATTCTGACAAAAAATACTATATAGTTGCATAGTAATGGCCTTTTGGCAACTTTCACTTTCCATTCTTATTCCAATAATCAAAGTAATAATGACTTCTCTATTGTAGTGATAGAAAAAAGAGTATTAGTGGATTAAGATAACTCTGTTTGGATTTCATGATTCCTTCCTTTCATTGCAGATTAATGTTTGCTAATTCCCCTCTTGGAGGGGGGCGGCTCTGTCAGTAGTGAAAGATCAGGTTCTGGAAGGTCCAATTAAAGTGATTTATTACTAATCATGTCTAGGCACAGGAATCTCCTTAACTAACAGTTAGCACCTGCTTGAGATTAGATAAGGGTCAACAGAATTCAAGGAAGGATGGACTTAGTTCGCTTACAGCTACATAGGGATTTGAGGCTACATGTCCCCCTTTTAACTCCATCTCTAGGTTTTGCCACTCCTTCTACAGGTCCTGGGGGACATGTAGGGGCTAATTTGGGAAGAAAGGACAGACAATTTATTTTTAAGTTCTTTGTGCATTAAAGGATATTACAATGATAATACTGTTGGGGAGCCCCATATTTAAATCTACCATCATCTACAGAAGCTCAGATAGACGTTTAGAGTTTGACTGTTTCGGGGGGGGGGGTTGTCAGTGAGAGAGAGATATTGAGCACCCATATGGAATGTGGAATATATTAATATTGCACATTATTTCTTGGTTTTTAAAAACTGTTCTTTCTCACAATAGGTTTTAAAATTTTTATAAAGCAAATATTACAGCTGCAAAATAGCATTTAGAGCCTTGCAACTTCAAATTCTAGGGGAAGGCTTCCATCTCATGCACTGTTTGTCTGTTTGTCCCAAAATTTCTCTTTCCTCTCAGCCTTGTATGCTCCCAAAAGGCAAGGCAAGAATTGCAGACTTTCCTGTTGCATTGTTTCTTACAAGGGCCTGTGTATTTCATTTTCCTCCCAGGAAAGGTTTGCCGTCTTATTTTGAAACAAAAGAGCTAAAATGAGAAATGCAGTATGTAAAAGTTGGGATTGTGTAGGTTGGAAAATATTTGGACTTGGGACCTGAAAGGTGGGAAATGCCGAAGTGACATTATGCTCTCAAATACAATTTAAATGTCTTTTTTTTCCCCTTTCAAAACAGGCCATGAATGAAATGAACGGAAAAGAGATAGAGGGGGAAGAAATTGAAATAGTGTTAGCCAAGCCTCCAGATAAGAAAAGAAAAGAACGCCAAGCTGCCAGACAAGCCTCTAGAAGTACTGCGTAAGTGTTAAAACTTCAGTAAACTGAAATCTAGCTGTAAAGGCACAATCAGATTATTATACTTTCCTCCAGATGGAACACTTAATTTGCTCAGTCCCGTCTACTGAAATTTACTCCAACTTGTAACAAGGCTGGAGAATTGTACAAGTTAAGGTGTACTAATTGGTATATGTTAGTGCCAACAAGAAAAAAATACCCACACTTAGTGCTCCTCCCATGGGCTGGAGAGGTGGAGGCCAATTTTGTCAGAGGGCTTAGAGCTGCAGATGACGTAGAGCAAATCCATCAATATGTTTAAAAGTAATCGTTCCCATAGCAAATCTAGTGTAGCTTCCTGGGAAGTTCAGTGGAGAAAGCAGTAGGCCGCGACCCCTTTCCTCTGTCCTCATCTGCTTAAATCAGAAAAGTTATTCTCTTTCTAAACTGGATTCTTTAAATTAGAAAAAAACTTGAGACAGATGTTGTTGAAAAAATACACCATAAATGTGTTGTTATTTTTCCCCCTCCTCACTAGGTATGAAGACTATTATTACTATCCTCCACCTCGTATGCCACCTCCTATTAGAGGCCGAGGTCGTGGAGGGAGAGGCGGCTATGGCTATCCCCCAGATTACTATGGCTATGAAGATTATTACGATGATTATTATGGCTATGACTATCATGACTACCGTGGTGGCTACGAAGATCCTTACTATGGCTATGATGATGGCTATGCTATAAGAGGAAGAGGAGGAGGAGGAAGGGGTGGGCGAGGCGCACCTCCACCACCTAGGGGGCGGGGAGCACCACCATCAAGAGGTAGAGCTGGCTATTCCCAGAGGGGGGCACCCATGGGACCACCAAGAGGAGCCCGGGGCGGGAGAGGGGGCCCTGCTCAGCAGCAGAGAGGACGTGGTGCTCGTGGAGCGAGGGGCAATCGTGGGGGCAACGTGGGAGGCAAGAGAAAAGCGGATGGGTACAACCAACCTGATTCCAAGCGCCGTCAGACCAACAACCAGCAGAACTGGGGCTCGCAGCCTATCGCTCAGCAGCCGCTTCAACAAGGTGGAGACTATGCCGGTAACTATGGTTACAATAATGACAACCAGGAATTTTATCAGGATACATATGGGCAGCAGTGGAAGTAAGACCAATAAGGAGGGCATGGGAATATTGACAAGATAAGAATTTGGCTATAGTTTTACATCCTTCCAAAAAAAAAAAATTGGCTTATTGTTTCATCCTTCAATAGTGATTGGCTGCCATGTGTATTGGGCTGAAGAATCACTCTATTATGTATATATTCAAGTCTTTTTTCCCCTCCTTTTCTCATAAATGCACTTGGACATTACTGAGCTTGCAGATTTCCCAAACATAGTTTGGGGATACAATGCTTTTTATCGTTTTAGGCTTCATTTTAGCAGTTTTATCAGCAAGGATGGGCAACACTGTTAAATCATGATTTTTGCAAACCTTCTGTTTTTGGACAGTTTCTTTTCTTTCTTTTTCCCTCTTTTCTTTTTGGATTTGGGATAGATTACGTAGGCTTCTGCTGTACATAAAATAAAGCTAGTACTTTGTCTCCGTAGTTTTAAAGAATTTAAAAAAAATTAAGTTTTCTTGTATTGAAAATAACATGATTGTATGTTTTGCATTCCTAGAAGTAGGTTAACTGTGTTTTTAAATTGTTATGACTTCACACCTTTTTGAAAATCTGCCCTACAAATTTGTTTGGCCTAAACGTCAAATCCGTGGCAATTTGTTCCTTGATGTGATTGTATTTCCAATTTCTTGTTCATGTAAGATTTCAATAAAACTCAAAAACCTATTCAAAACATTACCTATTTCAAATTCCATTGTGTCCTAAAAGATTATTTTATTGGTAATCCTTGCAAGAAACATTTTTTAAAAAACTGCCTATGTGAGTGATCAAATTCATGAAAAATTCTTGCGATTTCCAACATTTGGCATTGGTGGCATGTGAGTCAGTGCTAGGTCCAGTAAAATCAAATTGAAATGTATTAATTGATACTGTAATCTGGTTGCATTTAACAGTGAATTGGTTGCTTTCTTAACAACTTTTAAGTACATCTGAAAACTTGCATTTAAGCCCTTTTTCAATCAGTTGCAAAAGATACTGTGTATGAAGACAGCCCATAAATTTAACCTATCTCACATTATTCATATGGATCATATCCAATAACTCCAGCACAATTGGATAATTCTCAACTGTAAAACAACAATAACATGGTCAGTTTTACCTTAAAGAGACTGATTCGAACAAAGATATGAATTTGGTTGTAAATTTTTTAACAAATGTAAAAACTTGATGTTAGAGATAACTAATATTAATAAAAAACAGATAGATTTCACATCTTGTCAAAGGAGTGATTTCAAATGCAAATTTCCATTAATTTGGGATATTGCTAGTTTTTTTCTACTCAGGCTATTTCCATTCATTTTTTGTGTGAACCATTTTGTATTGATTTTTAACATACGTTTGATTCTCATCTCATGCTTGTTTCATCTGTTGTCTTTGCACTTTTCTATGTTGCTGTGATGTGCATTTGGGATTTTTTGGGGGGGAAAAATCAGACATTTGAAATTTATAAGATTGGCCATCCTGAATTTTCATAATAAATAGCCCCTTATTTATGGATTTGCATTTGATTAGATCATAGAGAAAAAAATCAAGTAATTGGACTTGCTTCAGGCTTTTTCTGATAGGAAGAATTAGTGGTTTTCTTCCTACATTTTGTTGAGGGTCAAGAAGATAATTGGGTTTGTAATTCATTGTCTTGAGAGAAGAAAATGTTTTTGAAAGTTATTTTTTTGAAGGCCAGCCAGTAAGAGTGAAGAGGCCTTTTAAAAAAAAAAATCCTAAATCTAAACTATGTTGATAGAAACTGACCAATATTATGATCAAATGAAATATTGTAGCTAGATGTATTTATTTTTATCTGAATAAAGTTCAGAATGTACACACTGAGGCTTTTATATGGCTTCATGGCTGGCTTTTTAATAATTTTTTAAGTCTTTTTAAAAATGGTTTATCAATTGTTTAGCAGTCAGCCCTCCCCTCCCCCCAGTTGAATGGTATGCTGATCTATGAAACAAACTGAGCTTTAAATATATGCCTCAATGAAAAAAAAGTCATTAGTTCTTTTATTGTTATGGATCATAAAGACTGTAAAAAAATAAGCAGCAGCTTTGTATTGACATGAAAATATCTGAATCAGAATTTAGAAGGAATTGGACTTTTAATACACACATATTGTTCTGTAATGAGAAATCTTGTGATGTGTTTGTTATTCTTACCAAAATACTAAGCTGTAAAAATCCTCAAAGCAAATGCAATTTTATGTGCTGTATTTTTTTAACTTCTGGTAGCTCTTCCAAGTAGCATAACATACATACTTGGCCTAACTTGATTGGTAACACAAACTGCAGTTCCATCTGTCCAGTAAATATCATTTCAGATTTTATATTTTAAAGACAGAAGTATATTGTCTGAATATTTCAGTGGTATCCATATTCAGTCAAGAGGCGCTAAAGACTTTTCAGTTTTTCAATTATATACCATGCACTATGGCTTAAAGAAATGCACATTTTAGATCCTCTTCTACTAATAACTAAAAATTCAAGTGCAATCCAAAATATATTTTGTTGATTTGTGTCTTGACCTTTGTTCATCAAAGCAATCCGAGGGAAGAAAACTCCTATTATGCAAGAATCTCATGCCTTTTTGTCTTCAAGATGGGGGAGGAATCATGAAATGGGATATTTGATCACTCATTTATAGCAGTTGCTTCAATGTCATTATTGACACCAAGGTGATTTTGGAAACAAAACAAAAAAAACAAAACCTGATGCCAGAGTTTTGGTACTTCAAAAACTTTTATCCAAAGATTTATACAAATTCTTAATTGTTTAGAATCCCACATTGTCTCATTAAATGAGTTTCAACTCAAAAGTTAACCAATTTCCTGAGAACCATTCTTCATGAAAGGAAATGTCTAAAAACGTTTAAAGGTTTAATTGTTCTAGGCTTATAGTTTCTTTGGTAGATTTGGGTTTTTTTTTCTCTCTTAAGTAATGATACCAACTGTAGTAACATAAACTATTTTGAAAATATTTCTTCAGAATTTCTGTTAAAATCCAAAAGAATTGGGAGAACATTTTAAGTTTAACAAATCCACTCTGAATAACTGCCTCGTTTATCAAAGCCTGTTTATATTTTCACCCTCTGCATCTGTATGCCTTTCTTTGAACTCATTTGCATTTTAAACATTAAAAAACATGCTATAAGTAAAGCTATAATGAGCAAAGTGAGGAAATTATGAAAATATCTTCATATAGAAGGGAGATCTTACAATTACAATTTGGAGTATGCAAAAAAACAAACCTTGGAACTTCATTATGGCTTTTTTTGCCTTGGCTGTGCATGATTTGGATTCTTGTAATTGTGAACAAATGAGCCAGAATTTTTTCAACGCTTGCATATAATTTCTCAATTTAAATTTGGAATTATTTCATAAAATATTAACAGACAAAACTAAGGTTTGTCTCTGAATTGGATTCTTAATGCCTCAAAGTTTTGTAAGGCCAGAATTACAGGCTGTGATTCTCATTTCTCTCAAAATGGAGGTTTCTCTTAGGGCAAACATGTTGAGCTGTTTTACATAGCAAATTTGATCGTCTTACCAAATACAGACTGGCTCATCAAGAGGCATGTGATTTTTGTCCCAAGAGGCATACCGTTGGAATGGAAAAACTATTAAGACTGTAAAAAGGAGGTTACCAGAAGCTCTGAATGACCATTCGGAATATATTGCTCTATCTACATTTTCTAATGTTATCCAGAAATCTGCCAGTGTAACTTCTGTTTTAACTCCTTCCTTTTATTACCTGACTATCAGGGAAGCGTGGTTGATGTCACGATGTCGACTTGCTAGGTGGGGTTCGCAGGGACAGTAACCATTGGAGTTATCGGTAAGAGAATTTTCTTTTCTCGTTTTTATTTCAAAATAGGAGCCTGCCCTCCCTCTGCCCCCCCGGGGTGGGGGTGTGATGGTATTGCTATTCCCCCTCTCCTCCAGGGATTTTAAATCATTTTGTGGGGAAGGGGTCTTTTTTCTTTTTTATAGATGCCTGGCTAATTGTACGTGAGAGAGGTGAGTTTGGATATGATCCTGCCAGTTATGACAGATGCATAGATTTGAGTAAGTGCCTAAGAGCATAAAGGGAAGATTTTTTTCAGGGGTATCTAGTGCTTCACGCAAAAAGAGTTTTTGTAAAACCCAGCTAAGGTTTGACGTTTGTAGTTAAAATGTCCTGAAGTGTACTGGGTTGACATGTTTACCTTTTCCTCAATATAGTGGCCAAACCTTTTTGAAATATTAATAGAGGGACGAGTAGGAAAAGAGCTGTCGTCACGTTAACCTCTTTTCTTAGTGGGATTGTTTCATAATAGTCCCATGGTTCAAATAACACAAAATCCAATTACAGGTTGTCCTTGACTTATGACCCCAATGTTTTCCATTGCTAAGCAAGATAGTTAAACAAGTTTTGCCTCCCATTTTACAACCTTTCTTGCCACAAGCTGTCAAGTGAATCGCTGCAGTAGTTAGGTTATGAGCCAAGGTGGCGCAGTGGTTAAATGCAGCACTGCAGGCTACTTCAGCTGACTGCTAGCTGCAGTTCGGCAGTTCAGTTCCCACTGGCTCAAGGTTGACTCAGCCTTCCATTCTTCCAAGGTCAGTAAAATGAGAACTCAGATTGTTGGGGGCAATAGACTGACTCTGTAAACCGCTTAGAGAGGGCTGTAAAGCATGTGAAGCGGTATATAAGTCTAAGTGCTATGGCTATTAATTTGGCTCTCCATTGTCATTGCTTGTCAGAAGGTCACAAAAAGTGATTGCATGATCCTGGGGCACTGCAGATGTCATAAATATGAACCAGTCGACAAGCATCCAAATTTTGGTCATGTGACCAAGTGGAGGCTGCAACAGTCATAAATGTGAAACTGGTCATACGTCACTTTTCAATGCCATAGTAACTTCAAATCAGTCACTAAATGAATGTTTGTAAGTCAAGGACTACCTATATGAAAAGCCTGCTTAAAGGTACTTTTTGAATAGGGAGAAATATGAAGCACATCTGAAATAATACTGTACAAACTTATAACACCACTATCCCCCCACTCTTTATTTTGAATATAATGTAGTCACGAACACCTTTACTTTCAGTTAGATAGTTAAACAGTCTTAAAGCAGTTATAAAACGAATGCACTGTACTTTTTAAAAGTGACCTTGGATTTTAACAAATCATGGGGGGGGAGTCTGATGATTGCAACACTGATATTATATCAAGAATGATAGTAACAGTTTTTAAATCAATAACTTTTTTTATTTTTATTTATAACACTTTTTCCCTCTCCTATTTGCCCCCCAACAACCATTTGAGTTGGATTGGGCTGCTTTATATTTGTCTAGTGGATTTTGAGTATGTCTATATGTAAGATACCTTTTTATTCTAATGAAAGGTGGGCTTCATTCTTTACCTCAGGGACATAAACCACGATTTACAAACCCGAGTGGCTGTTTTTATCAAGTGTCCTATGTCACAAATAAACCATATTTTTGTAATATGGTATATAATTCCGCTGAGTCAAATAAGCTTTGGTATTTCTAGCATATTTTTTACCTCTTTGACTATTTCAGCAGATACGTTCCTGAATTGTCTTCTCTGGGGGATGGGACCAGTGAACAAGGTTATGCTGAGGCAAAAACAAAAAAAACAAAAATAAAATCCCTGGGGGAATCACTGGTCTGACTTCCAGACATTCAAGTAC